GCAGAGTCCCTCCAGCGATCCAATGTCCTCACCCTCCCACAACTCTACGATGAATTCCAAAATTGCATCAAAGGCACTGTTGAAGCTGCACTTGTGACAGAGGTTCCAGACTTTAAGGGGTTTGTAAGAGGCTACATCAGGGATGGATCCGAAACGCTGATTGGCCACTCCAAGCCTCTTCAGTTTCATTTCAGCATGCATGATGGTGCTCCAGTGATGAGGTACAAGATGAGAGAATGGGACACAGTGTGGCTGCCAGTGGATGGCATTGAACTCTTCAAGAGAGATCCCATAACTGGGGAACCCATGATTCCTCAGGGTTCCCCATGGCCGATGCACCCGGATGGACTCAAAGACCAGGAAAGTATAGTGGCCGGGATTAGACAGCATATTGCCTTCTGGAAGAGGGGGTTGGTGTTTGGTGGAGAATCCTATTTTAAGAGGTGCAAGCCTTTGCTCAAATACTGGGAGAAGATTATATCTGCTATCCAAAATGGACCGGTTGTATATGAAGAATTGGAAGAGTCCTTTTGGCCAGTACCCAGAGCACCAGATAGTAGCGGAACAATGTCCTCTGGAAATGCAATGACAGATAACGATGTTGAGGATCACTATTGTGGGCCGAGGAACAAGAAGCCAGATTCAGCATTCAATCCAGTACAGGTCTGCAAAGGAATGGTCGTGCTTGTCAGACCCAGTAATAAAAAACAAATGATATGGGTGGGGCGCTGCATCACTGATGCAGAGGAGGATGCGGAAACTAACTCCTTCAATGTAACTGTGGAGTGGTTCAAGCCAAGTTCCGGATATACGAAGGATTGCCTAGAAAAGAGATGGGTACTGAATCCAAGGGATCCCAGCATGAGCATATCGGTGGATAATGTTGTGCATGGTTGGATGCGGAAGCAAAGTGCCACCATCACCTTGCCAGACCATGCAAGAGATGCAGCAAGAGCATTCATAACCCGGGTTCAAGGTGAGATTCATTAATATTCCTTTACTAAGTTTCTAATGTATTTTATTTCAAGGTGAACAATCCGAATCTGAATCAAAGGAGGCGTGATGGCATGTGGCCCTTTGCACTAGTATATCTTAATACCGGTCTGAGAAATAGAATGGCATGTGCCCTCAGGCCTTTTACTAAATCACCTTTGAAAGAAATGCAAGCCTCTATGTCGTAAAAAAAAGGTACTAGAGAAATTCCTTAATAATATGAATGTTATTTAGTTTCATGAAAATACACTAAGGGTCAAATGAGTTAAATGACTTCTCCAGACTAGCAATGCCTCTTGCTACACCTTCACAATTAGATTCTTTAGAAAAAGATAACATTGAATAATATCTAAATGTTCTCACCATTAAGTTATATGTCTGGCTAATAGGAATGACGTTCATCTTGGAAAGCTCACCACACGCTCAATGAACAAACAAATAGTGTGTGCGCGCATGCCATCGCTCTTCTTTAGCTTCAGATTCGGCTTGTTCACCTTGACAATGAGATTTATTATACAACCAGATGGACTCAATCTGGACACAAAGTCACCGCACTAGTCACCCCAGATATGTCTAGCCCCTGGACAAAAAACATATAATTTCACGTCATTTTCAAATACTTGAAAATTTGTACCTAGTCCCATTTTACTGAATAAATCCCACTTTAACGAAATAGAGCTTCATTCGGAGGAACGTAAGTTGCGCGGATCCTCGCCTTCATCATTTCCCAAGTGGCCACCGGTCCTTCGTTGGCCTCTGTTGTTCTCCACCAAGACTTGGCATTATCTGCCAAGTATGGTTTTGCACATGGGACCTTCTCCGAGCTCGGTAATCGCAACGCTCGGAAGTAGTCCTCCATATCGTAAAACCAATCCTCCACCACCTTATAGTCGTTCACTCCCTTGAAGACCGGTGGGGGCTTTGGTTTGTACTTAGGAACTGCTTGAGGGACTGATTCCACTTCGGTTTGTTCGACCTTGTCTGGTTTTGCCTCAGTCCCTGCCGATGGGTCCGCACCTTCTGCGCTGCCAACATCCGCAGTCTTTCGCTTTTTCTTCTGCTTCTCATCACGCTTTAACTTGCACACGAGAGTCTCTAGCAGGGCATTGGTCTGCGCCAATTGTCCTTCTAGAACGTCCAATCGAGCCTTGGACGACCAAACCTCGCCACCGGACTCCTGTTTGGAAGTTTCCTCACTGGAGTCCTCCTCATGCAAGGATTCCTCATCCATAGCCTCTTGTTCGACTGGAGGCTCCAGCTCTGGCGGAGGTTCTGTCTCCGCTTGGGTTCGCTTACGCCTTGCCTTTGCCATCTCCCAGCAATCCGCCTCTATCCTTCGCTAGAACTGAGGAAGAGGCTCCGATACCAAATTATAAGCCACAAATTTTTCCTTTCCAATTTGCTAGCTTACCTCGTCTATCCGACCAACTCTGCTTTGGCTTGTGCTAAGTTCCCTCGCCAAGGTTCTCGCCTATGGTACCAGCTCCTACTTGGTCCTACTTGGTTTCAGCTACTTACTGCACGAGCAACGGAGTGTTAGCCATCCATCTACGGATTCCCAAATCTCTCCCAATCCCCCTCCCCGGGTTAGACTAGACTTAAGGTTCGGCTACACTCCCCGCAGGCACAAGCAGCCAAGCACACCAAGCCTCCAGATTCCTAACACCCCTTGGTACCACAAGACTTGATCATGGGACCCTCTAAATCCCAAGCCTTGGGTGCAGCACTTGCTTCGGGACATCGGGGCGAAACACCATGGCCTAACAGCCCGGTATGGGTACCTCTACCCCCCCTCTTCCATCCCGAAGGGAAGGCCCAAGCCCCCGGAAGGGCGAGGACCAATGAGCCACAAGGTACTCAAGTGGGGCACCACTCCACCTGAGCCGGGAGCACCGCAGTCGGTTTCCCTTTCGGGAGTGGGAGCTGCTCTTGAGCACTTCCTTGGATGGCCCCTCCGGCACCAGCTAAGTCCATGCTCACTCCCACCCAAGGCCCCTCGGTCCCAGTCTCAACCTCAAGTCGATTTGGAAGCCCAACTAGAGAGTCCCTTCAAAACTGGTTCCTGGACCTCACTATCCCTACTATACTTTTGGAACCTGCAGCCCCCCCCCCCCCTGGGAGACGCACGCTTTGGGCTTTCACCCCTTGACCCGTATTAGTATTTGGACTTAGTCTCTGGCTCGATCTCGGACCCGATTTCAAATCCGATTTCGGATTCGGTCTCGGACTCGATCTCGGACTCGATCTCGGACCCGATCTCGGACCCGACCTCGGACTCGACCTCGGACTCGGTCTCGGACCCGATTTCGGATCTCGGACTCCGTCTCAAACTCGGTCTCGAACTCGGACTCGAACTCTGTCCCCGAGTCGGTCTCGGACTCGATTCCAGACTCTATCCCGAACTCGGTCCTAGAGTTGGTCTTGGACTCGATCCTTGACTTGGTCCCATCTGATGAACTCTTTGTCATTTCGGTCAAGCTTTTGGGAATCCTTTAGCCTACGACATCTCGGGGAGTCGGTTCCTTACACTCATATGACTCCTAGTTTCTTGGAAGAATCTCTGTTCAAGTACTTCCATTATAGCAGCATTTAACAAGATGTTATTGACACCAAGTCCTCCACCTAAAAAATGGAGGACACCAATTTAGAAAATACTGACAGTGTTGATACGTGTGGCCAACCTCATCACACACTCAATAGTGAACATCATAACCATGATCATGTCCTCATCCTTGTCTTTGAATATGAGTAACAACAACATTAACTTGTGATAGTTAGCATGTATGAGTGTTTGTTGGTTTTGCCGCATTCATTCTATTCTGTTGATTGTTGCTATAGTTGGTTTCTATAGATTAGATATTATTTCCTTTGGGTGATATATTTGATAAAATTAGATATTATTTCTTTTGGGTGATACATTTGTAAGTATATTGTTTGCCAATCAATGATACTTTGTGCTCTTTTAGTTGTCTTTTGTAAGTTGTTTCGCATGCTATCTAAATGCTTTGATAGTTATATATTATTATTGAGTTTTCTTAGTGATACACTTGCTATTGAATTTTGTTGGATAGTAAATTCTAGATTTTCCAACTATGGTGATCTTAGTGGTTCTTGTACTTTAATACTTGTTTATCGAATAATAACTTACTTGGAATACTTTTGTGTTCTAAATTAAGCTTTATTCACTAATAAATAAGTCTCTAATAAATCATTGTTTATGACTTTGATATTGTCCATCTATTAATCTTTGAGTTTAGGCCAGTATAGGTAGACTGACTTTGGCACTTTGTGTGCATGGTGAAATCTCTAATCATGGGGTAGCTACTATCAACTAATCACATCACCCACCTCTCTGTCGATGTTCCTTATTCCGTTAAAAGGGCGTGACCATGTAAACAACTCTAACTACCTATTTATAGTAGTTTATCTAAATCTTATCAACAGGTTTAGTTTCTTTACTCAAGAGGGTTAGGGCCTCTGACTTCTCTCTCTATATCCCTGCAGGTAGGGGCATATCACACTTTTATAAGCTGGGTGACATCCAAAGCAGCAAGGGTGGCTAACTCCGTTAGTCATTTCCTTGTCAACAATAGCTGAAAGGTGTCTGAGCTAATAGTGCATCCGCGTTATACAAAGAGGTTACCTCCTAACTCATTTAAGTTGGTGTATTTTGCACATAGTGTGATCACTATGAACTTTTTCTAGAGTTGTTTCCTTGTCGGTGGTCTAAACTCAAGTATCCATCGATGAGGATGTCAATCTTCCCTAAGGGGAGAGAGTGTCACAGTCATGGTTGGTCCCGACTGTTCCGAACGCCGACCGGCCGACCACCCGACCATGGTTATCGACTGGCTGTGAAAATGCCGAACGACCGAACGGTTCACAAAATTTTTTTGAAAAAAAAAAACAGTTTTAGTAAAACCACATTAATAAAAGTAGGAAAACCAAAGTATTAAACCAAACCAAACCAAACCAAACCAAAGCATTAGACCAAACCAAACCAACTACTACTCATCTTCTTTAACATCTTCGGCAAGTCCCTCGACATCTCCGGCATCTTCCTCAACAATCATATCTTCATTTGGAAGATCTTCATCGGCTAAATCTTCTATACCAAGAGATTCAAGCCTAGCTTGCATCTCTACAATCCTCATCCATTGTGGTTCGATTGCAATTGTGTCGAAATTGATCTCTAGGAACTTCATTCCTTCACTTTTAATATGATCCACCACTCTGGTGTTACTGTGTACATAAACCAACTTCTTCAAGTTCTCTAGAAGCAAGTGATTGCGTCGTTTGGTTTGGATCAAGTTCCAACTACTCCAATTTTGCTCACATGGAGAAGAGCACACTCCTTGGCTCAACATACGAAGTGCTAACTTCCTGAGCTCATGCATCTCATATCCATAAGATTCCCACCAAGACACTGGGAATTTCCTTTTTGCTTTGCTCTTCGGCAAATCCCGATTGATAGCTCTTCCAATTCCTCATCGAAACATATTGAATTGCTCATCTAACTTCTCTTCTAGCTGAGTGTCCCCACAGCAATAGAGTGATAAATAATCCATCCAATCAATACTTACCTCAGCATCCAAGTCTTGCGCAAGGTATGAAGGATTCAAAGCATGTGCAGCGCTGTGCATAGAGCTATGCATCATAAACCATCGAGCTCTCCGTCTATGTTGGTCTTCAACCAAGACACACTTAATTGCATCAATTTTATCCACATCAAGCTTGCCATCTTGAGCTGCAAGCTCCAATCCTTCAATCATACGATACATTGCTTCATAAATTAATCCTGTTGTTGCGCCCTCACGATCGGCAAGACTTAACACCTTCAAAATAGGAGCTACCATAACCAATCAAGTAGAAGCATTCTTTCAAAATTCATCATTGAAAATTGTTGTACGAACATCTTTGGCATCCTTTGTGTTATACCACTTCGACAATTCAAATTCTGCACTCACTATGAATTGTTGAAGGCTGGAGCTGGCTGACCATAAGAAAGATGTAAACGAATCGAGTCTTCACAGGCTTCATGAGTTCTCTAGAGCAGAACTTTCGAAATAAAGCAAGTAACATCGGCTTCTCAGTTATGAACTTCACGATCTTCTCACAGTCATTTACGATCTTAGACACCCAATCAAACTTCCCAATATCCTCCAATAACAAGTCCAAAACATGGCACACGCATCGATTGTGTAAGATAAAGGGGAATTCTTCTCTCATATGTTCCCCCATCGATACACAATTCGAAGCATTATCAATGATGACTTGAACAACATTTTCAACACTAACATCCAAAATGATGGGTCTAAGTTGCTCCCAAAGCCAAAGACCAGTCTTCTCTTCTCCTTTGGTGTCAACACCCTGCCAAAATACTAAGCCATGGATAGAGGTAACTATGAAATTTATGAATGATCTACTCTTTATATCAGACCATCCATCAATCACTATTGTACATCCAAACCGAGCCCATCCATCATGAAAGAGAGTTAACTTCTCCTTGATTAAAGTATAGTGACGAGTGAGTTGAATAGTACGAGGCTTCTTGTAACCAAGAATCCTCGATGCAACACTAGGTCCAGCACTATAAGCAGCTGCAATCATCGCATGAAAATATGGGCTTTTCACAACATTAAATGGTATAGCATTCAAGAAAATGAACTTTGATATCGCATCATCTAAGTTCATGTTTCTTTCATCATCAAGCATTTCCTCAATATTGCCATCTTGCATTCACTTTCGACCAGCAGATGATCCCTCATGACCTATAGAAGCACTCATAGGCTGAGATTGACTAGCACTTTATGTACTAGCTCCAGAAGCAGATGCCCCATCAAAATGCCTACTCTGTAGATTTGCTGCAGAAGGTAAAGACAAAGGGGCATTTGCGATTTGCTCCACAAACATTTAGTGAGCTTGGTTCTGAACATGAAGAGGAACGTTTGAAGCACTACATGCTTTAATATCATGCCCAGAAACTTTAGCAAGATGCGCCTTGATGCATTTCGGCGGACCACCATACATTTTACCACAATAATTACATTTCCAAGGCTTAGCTCCTTTGCCGGAAGCATAAGGAGTGAGCTTGGTAACATGGGACCATGCCCAATCGGGCACCATCGCTCAATTGTGCCAGAATCACTATGAATCTCTACAATCAAATCTCTGGAATCACTGAATTTCCATTTTAGGGCAAAAACTTCAAGTGTTGTGGACTGGGTGATTTGATTTGCGAGGCTTCAGCACTGCTCCACGCTCAATCGAAAGCAGAGGCAGGTATGCCCGCAGCTCATGCCCTCCTCGCCGCAGCAACATCAGAAATCTAGCGCGATCACCATTTTTTTTGCCGAATGGAATCACTGAACAGACTTGTCCGACCGCGTTCGGCGGTGGTCAGGACTTCGGCCGAACGCGGTCGGGACCAACCATGGTCACAGTATCAAAAGTTACTTGTTGACTAGTCCTTTCAGATATTCTTTTTTTACTGCCATGACAGTAGGAGGTTGGTATTGCTAGTTCCTTTTATCAACCCTCTTATCCAATTGTTAGTTTACTAGGCTTAGCACTTGTACTTAGCTAAATGGATATAAGTGTAATGCACTTGAATTTAGAGCTAAACTCAAAGCCCGTTGTGCTACGAAACGAGGGTCTGGTACAATCCCACGAGCACCAGCTCCCCGTATCTAGCACCTGCATGCAAAATGGTGTCAAACAGTGTTTGGCACAATTTTGGCATACCGGTGGCCTAACACGAAGAAGAGGGTACCCCACCAACTAAAGTAGTGTGGAGCTTGGGTTAGACCCAAATCAGATGCAGAACAAGAAGTGACACAGCCCAGCAAGAGCCAAACTAATGTCTTAAGTGGTTGGATATGCATTCTAACCACTATCCCTACTATACATTTGGAATCCCCCACATCCCCCCTTCCCCCCCCCCCCTAAGGAACACACACTTTGGGCTTTCACCCCAAGCCTCCCTTAGTACCAGGAGTTAATCTTTGAGATAATCTCAAAACTTACTAAATATAGAATGTCTCTAGATTGTGAATTTGGACATGGGATGAACACCATTATGTTCAAGACAATCTCTACACTCCATAGATATACCAAATAAGCAAACCTAGACATTTTCTATAAATAGCACTTAAGCCCGAAATGAGATTAACCCAAACGGCATGATAGCGAGGGTGTTTAGCAGACATGGTAAGCTATCATTTAAAAAATATTGAGGGACTAGTCTCAACATTGCAGGGGTTCCCAACACTAGCAAACGTAAGCCAACAACATAAGTTTTTCATCAACATGTCAAGTATGCTTGACTTAATGACAACTTAGGATTTCCTTCCTTAGTGCCCTTTCGGTCTAAGTGCACATATGCTGACTAGTTTCTCAACTACCTTGGGTGGAGACCATAAACGAAACTAGTAGTACCGACCTTCTATTGTCGTGGCAGTAAGGAAAGAGTGTTTATAAAGATTGGCTGACAAGTATCTTTTGATATCTGAAGTCACATTTGCGACACTCTCCCCCCTTTGGGGAAGATCGACGTCCTCGTTGATACATACCCGAGTCTAGCAAATTGTCAAGGAAATAAATCTGAAAGTTAATGGAAAGCACATTATATGGGAAACACACCGACTTAAATGAGTTATGGAACGACCTCTCCTCTACGTCCAAAGACGTTAAAACTCAGACACCCTCTGGTTACTAACGGAGTTAGCCACCCTTGCTACTCCGAGTACCACTCAGCTTACAAAGGAATGATACACCCCTGCCTGCAAGGACATAGGGAGAAGGCCAGAGGCTCAACTTCCCCTAAGCAAGAAATCAACCCCATCGAGAAGACTTAGACAACTATTATAAACTGGCAGAGTAAGTATTCCTAAGAGGTTCTTAAGTTGATTCACAAGATGGGTAACCTTTCCAATTAACTAAATATTCTTTGGTTTGACCACCACGTGCCTTATGAGACAAAAGAATAGCCTCAACCTCATACTCTGGTTCACCATCAATAGCATCTAGAGCTGGACAAATATCCCTTGAGTGGCCAGAATCCTCACAATATGGGGCTAGTAAACTGACATGAAACACAACATGAAATTTAGACATCTTGTGTGGAATATCCAACTGATAGAATATATCACCAAGTCATTTCAACACCCGATAGAGTCCAACATATCTTAGTAACAACTTCTGAGACAAAGATCCCTTAATGTTCAAGTTCCAGAAAGATAGCCACACCTGATCTCCCACTTGATAGAATACATCCCGATGATGCTAATCTTTATCACGTCGATACCTATCCTAAGCTTTGCCCATCACCTCAGTAGCTCTAGACTAACCTTAGCATAGCTGCTCTGCATAAGTCTCAACGGCCAAGACAAACACTTTGGACATTGGTTTTGATACAAAAATCTATTGAGGAAACCCATGAGCATTCCCTTGCAGCATCTCCCAAGGAGAATAGCCAATATTACTTCCAAATGTGTTGTTATAACAAATTTCTGTTGTGTCCAAATGCTCAACCTAGTCGCGTTGGTCCACCGTGACATAGTACTAAAAATATTCCTTTACTTGAGCATTCACACATTCGGTTTGCCCATCGGTTTAAGGATGATAAGTTGTACTAAACTTCAACTTGGTACTGAACAATTGGAATAGTGTGCCCAAAACCTCCCTCTAAATCTTGAATCTCTATCGGAGATCATCAGTTCAAGAAGACCACGAACCCGCACTACTTCATGGAAAAAGAGCTTTGCTACTTATTTCATATTCACCGTTTCCACAATTGGAATGAAGTGTGCAATCTTTGACAATCGATTCACAACCACCATCAAAGTATTATAACTATTAGGCTTCAGCAAGCAAGTGATGAAATCAAGTGTCACACTTTGAAACAGCCATATTGGTGTAGGAATGCACTACAACTTTCTATTCTGCTTCTCAGTTCTGCGCTTACATTGCTGGCATATAGGGTAGGAATGAATATAGTTTGCAACATCAACTTCCATTTTAGACTAGAAAAATCCTATTTTCAATGAAGCAAGAGTCTTGTCCTACTATTAGAACATTATGATATTCCCGTAGAAACAACAACTGTAGATCCTTAGAGGGAAGATACAATCTTTCTTGCTTATAGAATATAAGCCTATCCCGATTTGAGAAGTAAAGCTTTGCATTGGTGCGGCTAGCAACTTTTGCTACTTCACTACCGGGGTTCTGCTTTGACAACCCTACATAGTGCAAGATTGCCTTTGCCAATAGATCACTTCTATATGAAGCCTAAACATCCTCCAACCAGTCAAAACTAATTGCTGATAATGCCCGGAATTGAGAATGACAACTCAATGCATCCAAAACAATATTATCTTTACCACGTTTATATATGATTTCAATATCATATCTAGTGAGCTTCTCTTGCCAACAAACTTGCTTTAGCATAAGCTTAGGCTGCATAACAAAGTAACTTAGTGTGTTACTATCTGTATAAACCTTGGTATGTCCACCCAAATAGTGTCTCCAGTGTTCCAATGTTAACACTATAGCAAACGCACTTTCTTGTGCGTTGACCATCTTCATTGTGTTTCATCCAATTTCTTAGAATAGAATGCAATGGGACAACCATGTTGCCTTAGCGTTACACCAACCGTTTTATCACAATCTTGCTATAATATAGCACCAATAGCATAGCCAAATGCATCACAATGCACTTCAAAGGGTTTATCAACATCTGGAATCCTAAGAATAAAAACCATAATCAAGATCTCTTTCAACCGTACAAAAGCACACTGACAAGCTAGTGTCTAATGAAATGGTATACTACTCTTCATTAACTTAGTCAACAGAAGAGCAATTCTTGCAAAATTGTGGACAAACTTGTGATAGTATCCCGCCAAATCGAGAAAGGAACGAACATCTGATACAGTGGTCGAAACTTCCCAGAACTTCACCGCTTCCACCTTTTTTGGATCCACCTCAATTATGCCACCACCAACTATATGTCCAAGAAAGTTCATGTGCAATTGTCCAAAAGCACATTTACTTTCCTTAGAATATAGTTTGTGTTCACGCAATTTCTAAAACACCAACTCCAAGTGTTTCAAATGATCCTCCAACGTTTCATTGAAGACTAGAACATTGTCGATCTATAGGACAACAAATGTGTCTAAATAATCTCCAAATATTCTATCCATCATAGTGCTGAACATTGCCGGAGCATTGCATAACCCAAGTGGCATGACAAGGAACTCATAAGATCTGTACCAAGTCTTAAAGACTGTCTTCTCCACATCCTGATCTGCTACCCATATCTGATGATACCCAAACCACAAATCAAGCTGCATAAAATACTTAGCCTTTAAGAGTTGGTCAAACAAGTCATCTATGTGAGGCAAAGGATAATTATTTTTTACCGTGATTTTGTTAAGTGTCCAATAGTCAATACACATCTTTGTGGTTCCATCCTTTTTCATAACAAAAAAAACTAGTGCTTCATAAGGTGACTTGCTTTGTTAGATATGACCTTTGTCAAAAAACTCTGTGAGTTCCTTCTTAAATTCAACCATCTCCTTGACATTCAAACAATATAGAGCTTTTGTAGGTGGTGTAAAACCCAGAATGACCTCAATTCGATAATTAACCTCACGGCTAGGAGGTAGCCCTAGTGGCAAATCCTCGGAAAGATATCTTGATTTTTCACCAACAACTCCAATATCTTCTTTGGTATAGGATTAATCCCATCACTAATTTGAACTAAGTCACTAACACCCTCAACTTCCATCACTTGAACCCAAAAGGTTTGACATTCCTTCTTAGCTGCTTTTTGAGTGGCTCTCGCAGTAAGGAACTTTGCATCTCAATCCTTTGAGGAGCACTTTTGCAACTAGAAGGACACATCAGGACGTCCTTCTGATTTCAACGTGATGCAACTTTGTTCAGCACTATAAATCCTTTTAATATATTTGTTAAAAAAATCCATACTAAACACCAACTGAAAATTTGGTATCTTCAACACTACCAAGTCCACTCTTTCTTTCTACTTGGATATTTTTATTGGAACATCACTCACAAATTTTCTAGCTACTTGCCCATCTTCCACAAACTAGAAGTATATGGGTGCT